AAAACACAACACATTAGTAGGGCTTCGGCCACTGTTACTTTTACGGGTACGTTTGCGAACGCGATGCCTAAAACTAGTACACATTAGCACACTTGTACTCATACGCATACTCGATCTAACACAATTCGAGGGCCACCACCGGAATTTTCAGTCGTACAAATCGAACTGCACTAATACGAATACGAATTCTAATGCTAAAGCGAACGACTGACTCTAATGCTAAAACTAACGACTAACACCACTAATCTAACTCATTGGCCAACGTTCAACCCCCGCCGACGGTAAACGATCGATGGCGCCGCTATGTTTCACACTTCCCACTGGCAGTGGGCAGCAGCTGCGCTCTCAAAGCCTGAGGTGTCAAAAAACACTACAAAACGCACTCTGCCACCACATTTGGAGCATGCGCGGCCAACCCGATGCTCCCCCCCCCACCCCACCATCCCTGTCAAAAACACTACAAAACACACTTTGGGGCAAAGTCTTGAATCATGTCCGTGAGGCCCGCGAGCACTTTGCCTTGCTTGTGACAAGGACGGCTGGGGTGTCAGCATATTGCCTGCTGCGCGCAGGGCTGCCATAGCTAGCACAAAAACCATACAAAAGGAACCTCGCGGCCAAATCTGGATCATGCGCGGCCACCCCGCGATCACTGTCAAGTGGTTTTTGAGAGGGACGGCGTGGGTGGTGGCGTATGGTCTGCTTTGCGCAGGCCCACCAGACACAACGATGGGCATTGGTTTTCGAGAAGGATGGTGGGGGCCGACATGCTTCCCAATGTGTGCTGTCACGTGCGCAGGCGCACCTGACACATCCTGCATGTGCCCCGAACGTGGCGCACCTGGCGCGGCTGGAGTAGGCGGCACACCTGGCGCACTTGGAGCACGTGGCGCATCTGGCGCGCCAGGCGTGCCTGGCACGCTCGGACCCCAGGGGTGCCTGGCGCGCGTGGCGCGCCTGGCACGCGTGGCGCACCTCGTCCCAGCGTCGCGCACATGGAGTCGGTTTTGGTTCCCTGTAGCTGCCAATCCAAAGACGACCGCTGATTATGCTCAGGCTCGGGTGTTACTCATGTGTTGGGAGGGCGGGTGGGAGTGAGCTAGACGGCTTGCTATCTAGGAGGCTGCCTTGACCCCTTCCCCATAATTACACCCTCCCCCTGGACGGGGCATTTCGCGACGCGTTTGGGCGTCCAAAACGGCCTCGGCGAGAAGGCCTACACCATTGATTGTATTGGAATGTTAGCCCAAGTTTGGCCTCCTGGGGGGGTGGGAGGTGGGGGGTGGGGGGGGGATTGCTCCCGCCCCTTCTTTGAAAGACGGCCCCAAGATGACCCCCGAAGCTTCCAAGAGTGCCCTAAGAGGCGCCCAGGAGGCCCCAAGAGGCCCCCAAGATACCCGAAACATGCCCTCCCCAGAGGCCCAAAAGAGACCCCAAGAGGCCTCAAGAGGCTCCCCTGAGGTACTCAAGACGCTTCAAGAGGCTCCAAGACCGCCAAAAGGCCCCGCCGTCGTCGCCGTCGCCGCTCCTCCCCTTTCCCTGGGACCTCCTCCTCAAGCGATCCACCCGAACGGAAATGAAACAGCGTCGCAATTGATTCGAAGGGAAGCCCCTTCCCTTTGATCCTTGCCTTGTTGTGGCGTGGGGGGATCCAGGGGGGGGTCCCAAATCTAGGGATTCCCGGGGAGGTGCCGGGGGGGTCCGGGCGGGGGTAATGGGGGCTGGGGGTCGTGACCCCTCCCCAGGGAGATTCCCCTTGTAGAGAAGCGGGGACAGGGGGGTGGTTTCCCGAGGAGCTCAAGACCCCGCTTTCCTCCCGGACCTCCCGGACCCATGACTCCGCGAGACATCAGATCCGCACCGACGCGGCTCCAATGGACCACAGAGATTCCCAAGCAGTCTCCCAAGAGGCCCCGCACAGAGGCCAACAGGCTCAAGGGCTCCAGAGTGTCAGCGTCGTCGTCGTCGCCGCCGCCGTGATCATCGTCCCACTTCAGGGTCGATGGTACTGACCGTAAGGCCTTCCCGATCAGGATTGAGCCACAATGGCCACAGACGGCATCGCCGTGAATGCGAAGATGACGGCGACGGCGATGGCGACGAGGCACCCCTCGCGGCCGCGATCGCGATCGTCGACAATCATCTACATTGCACCCGTCATGCGGGTCGGCCCCAAATTGGATACGCATGCTTCGCTTGGATAAGTCGCCGGCCCAACGGGCCAGAGGCGTGCTAAGATCTCCGGCAACTGGATCAACACTTTCTCTAATTCGGGCGCGCGGGGCGCCCCTGGGGGTCCCTGGATGAAAAGTACCCTGGCCGAGGAGGAGGAGGAGGAGGCGGAGGAGGAGGAGGAGGCGGAGGAGGAGGAGGCCGAGGAGGAGGAGGAGGAGGAGGAGGAGGAGGAGGAGGAGCGAGGAGGAGGAGCGAGGAGGAGGAGGAGGAGGAGGAGGAGGAGGAGGAGGAGGAGGCCGTGCAGGGCGCTCCAGGGGCGCGCCAAGAGGGCGCCGGGACGCCTCCGACCCGCGGCCCAATTGGGCCCCGAGTCGCCGAAAAAGACGGCTGCAAGACGCCCAAGATGGCCTCCACGCGGCCCACGCTGCCCTGGAGGCAGCCAAGAAGCCCCAAGAGAGCCTCAAGAGGCTCTCTAAGAGGGCTCCAACAAGCAGAATTCGGCCCATCCCCTTCGACAAAACTCACAGTTTCCCAATGAAAGACGTTCGGGCGTTCACCGCGTCCAGAACTGCCCGACAGGCCTCAAGGAACGGCCCCATATGGCCCAACAGGCCCTCAAGAGACCCCAAAAACGTTCCAGAAGGCCCCAAAAACAACCCCAGAGACCTCCGAGACGGCCCAAGAGGCCCCCAAACTGGCTCCAAGAGGGGGCCCAGACGAGGCCCCCGAACTAGTATTTCGAGCCCTCCGCCCCGGGAGGCCCCCAGGCTGCCCCCAAGAGGCCCCCGTGAGGCCCCCGTGAGGCCCGAGAAGGACCTCAGAATACCGCCGGGCAGGGCTGGACCTAAACGTTGTTTTTCGTTTTGCTGTGCGTTTTGCTCCGCCTGTTCTCATGTACCTCGCTGTCAAAACGAAAGCACACACACACAAACAAAAAACTACCGCCGAAGCCGAGCAAAACAGCGCTTAGGCCCAGCCATGCCGCCGAGGGGCTCCCGAGAGGCCTCCCAAGAGACCCCGAGTAAGCAAGCGAAGAGGCGTCTTGCCCACGACCACGGGCGGCCCCACAGAGCCCCAAGCGCAGCACCTACAACCACCCTGACAACCCTTTTGAAGGGGAACTGGGACACACAAATAAATACACACAAATAAAACTATTCCCCATATTTTCCTATATTTTCTGGGTTTTTGTTTTCCCCCCCACTTCCCATATTTTCCCATATTTTCTAGGGAATCGACGATTATTTGTGTCTGTGTGTTTTTTCCCCTCCTGACCTTTGGAGTTCCAAAACGGTGCGGTGGCAGACCGTGCGGTGACCTCGAGATCCCGCAAGACCTCACCGCACGGTCCGTCACCGCACGGTCTTGGGACCCTGGAGGCCCCTGTCGCCCGAGACATCCTCGGAGAACGGCCCGAGTCCCAAAACCGTGCGGTGACCCCGAATCCCCACCGACTCACCGCACGGTGTGGTCACCACCCCGTTTGGGGGCCCCCGAAACCCACGAGTGCCAAGTCAACGCCGCCGGGGTCAACGACGGACCCACAGGAAACATTTCCATGGCAACTGCTTCACCTACGACGCTCACCGCGCCCCGCCTCCAGAAAACGCCAGCGGCCCAGCGGCACAGCATTGACAACAACACCCAGAAAAACGACAGCGGCGAGACACGATGGGCCGGCGGAGTGAGCGAAGCGATGACATAAGACGAAGTGGAAGAACATCCTGCACTCGTGAAACAGTGATACGTCCACAAATACTGGCACTACAGCTCATGCGAAATGATTTCGGATGCCAATCCCATGCCCCCGACGTCATGATTTTCTCATGACGTCGACCACCAGAGGCAGCGTCGCCCAACCACTTCCAATGCCGGCAGCGCAGGCTCTGTGGCCTTGCGGAGCAAAACCCCAACGCGTTGGCTGGCGGCGCACTCACAGGCCACTCGACGCACTCTTCTTGAAGACTCACAGACAGGCTGCTCAGCAAAAAAGGGAACGAAGGAGGCAAAGAAGGGATCGAGCAGAATGGGGGCTGCTCGGCAGGCGCACAGGACTGCGCAACAGACGCCCAACCATGGGGGCCGTTGTTTTCTCGCCCCTGCCTCCTCCCGGGCTCCAAATTTCTCTGGCAAGGCCAGCGAGGGTCAGGCACCACAAGTCCCGGCCTCTCACTGCACCCGAGTTCGTGGCGCTGCCGCGCAGTGACCAGGAAGACCGTGCAAGGCTTTATGAGAACGGGACTCGGGACGGGAGGCATTTCTTCGCGGCGGCGCAGCCGCATGATCCTCATGCTGCTCTTGGGCGTTGCTTAGTGGGGCGACCCATGGTGGCGGCGAAGACACGTGCGCCTTTCGTGCTCCTTCTGGGCCCCAAGGGCCCCCTTCAGGGCCCCATGCGGGGTAACAAACGTGTACCCCTCTTCGCACCCCTTTTACCGCCCCCACTTACGCACCGCCCGATGCTCGGCAACAACGTCGCACCGGGAGCGGGAGGAACAAGGGACGGCAGGGGACGGGAGGTTGTACTGCAGCACCAATGATGAGTGCCTGGCTTACTCTGATCGCACTCATTATCGTCCCTCTCCTCGCCCTTGTCCCTCCTCCTGCCAATGACTATCCCCCCTCCTCCTCCTCTTCCTCCTCCTCCTCGTCCTCCTCCTCCATGGTTATCCTCAATTTCCTCCTCCCTTTCCTCCTCCTCGGTACTCCTCCCTCCTGCCACCTTCCTGCTACTGCACTGCTGCCTCTCTTCCTTGTCTTCCTCGTCGTCCTCCTCCTCCTCTTCTCCCAATCCTTGCCTTCCCGCGAAGCTTCGCAAGAGCGGCCTGTCCAGAGACCACCCTGCCGAACTTCGACCCGCCGAGGACCGAGACCTGCACGAGGACCGGACGAAGAGGAAGCGGAGAGGATTGACAAGGAGGACGGTAGAGGACGACGACGACGACGACGAGGACGAAGAGACGAGAGCGGGACTAGAAGGGACGGGAGGAGGAGAAAGAGGAAAACGAGCACAGGAGGAGGGGAACAGAGCGAAAGAGGACATGGAAGGAGAGGAAGATTGAGATTATGAGGTGACGGGAAGGGCGCAAGCAGACGAAAATGAGGGGACGAGGAGAAATGCACGACAAAGGCAAACTATTCAGGAACGTGTCCCTTCGGCGCGGGGCCCTAGGGCTAGGCCGCGCAAGCTTCGCCGACACACGCGGATCGCAACGCGCCGATTGCGGCTCGGAAGCTCTCGAAAAACTTTGACACAATGCGCGCTGCCTGGCTACGGGTGTCCAGGGAGAGCGAGCCGCCACGTAACCGTTTCATCAGCCCCAGCACCTCATCAACCCACGGAAGGGTTCCTGGACCTGCCTTTCTCTCTCTCTCTCTCTCCCTGTCTCGCTATATATATATATATGTATATATTTATATATATATATGTATATATAGTCCTCTTTCTCGCTATGTCGACTATATGTGTGTCTCGTTCTATATATCTTCTCTCGCTGTCCAGTTAAATCATATGACGTGTATGTATGTTGCGTGGTTCCCTTATGGGGTTCTCTCTTTCTCTCTCTCTCTCTCGTTCTCTCTCTCTCTCTCTCTTTCTCCTCCTCTCTCCCATCATGTACGTATAACACATATGTTAATCAACGTGGGCTACAAACCGTGTGCTTCTAGTACGATGTGCAATAGAGTTGGTGCTATCTATGCTGTGCAATAATTGTAAATAGTGCACTAGGTGTTGCATCTGTGACTTGCAAAATTTGTGGTGCAAGCGAAAAGGTGCAATCTGCGTGCTGCAATATGTGCTGCGAACGATCAAACAACGCGCCGCAGGCGCGAAAACACATCGCGCAATATGTGTTGCAATCCGTGTGGGGCAACCTACGTGGTGCAACCGATGCGGTGCAATTCGCCCTGCCGAACCTGAAGTTGTCAACCCCCAAGCCCGCGCAAACATCCCACCCACCCGCAGCTTGGTCTGTCAAACCCATGCGATGGCGATTGCGATGAATGCTTGGCGCTGGTTGTTAGCTCGCGCGTGAAGCGACCAGCTAGTGCGGCGCGATCGACGCGGCCGCGGTGGCGCTGACCGCTGGGCACTTCCAGCAGGCATTCCACTGCGAGTCGGGAACTTGGGCGGGCGCGGTATCATGGCTACGCCGACAACGGTAGACACGATGATGACTAGCGGTGATGGTGGCGATGATGACGGCGAGGCCAAGGACGGCGCCGATGTTGAGCATGCCCGCCGATAACGGTGACGATGTTCTCGCGTCGGTGAGGGAGGGTTAGGAAACAAAAACAAAACAAAACAAAAAAAAAGTTAGCATGCGCGCGCGGCCGACGCGCGCGATTGGCCCGAGTGGTATTATTCATCACGGATCGCGCCCACCTCCCTTTCACCCAGCACGCGCGCAAGGACGTTTGGATGGACTCGACATGCAGCGCGAAAGGCCCGTTTGGCAGAATTTGATGGCATCGTGGACAACCTTATGGTTTATTGACACTTCGCCAGAGCGCGCGCGCAAGCTTCCTTTTGAAAGCTGACGCTGCAAAACCATGTGTTTGTTTTTTTGTGCGCGTCCAGGGCACCCGTTTTTGAAAACCCTGGCGAAACCTCATGGATTTTTCGAAATATTCAGCCACGCCCGTGCGACGACGCGCGCGCGCACTTCGTCAACGCGCGCGCAAGGGCGCTCGAACGACTCCGACGCGCGCGCGCAGGAGTCCGTTCGGTAGCGCTTCCTGAGCACGTTGGCAACTCATGGTTCCCTCATCAATCTGCAAGATCGCGAGCGCAGGATGTTTTCGAACACCCCCGTTGCGCAAACGCATGTCTTTTATATGTTTCCGCGACACTCGATGTTGGAATACTGGACAAATCGTTGCTCTTATATAGATTTCGGCGCACGCGCGCGACGACTCGCGCGCGCTCCGCCCCACGTTTTGAGAAGGATCCTTTGGAAAGGACAACTTGTTATGAAAGATTGCGCGCGTGCTATTCCTTGGCTGGGAACTGGAAGGGGGGGGGGGGGGGGGCGATGCCGGCAGTCCTGGGATAATACGAAATCGAGTTTAAGATGGGCGATGTGTCAGAATCACATGTAAGTTGTGGTTCGAAAAGCCAGGGCGATAAGATTGGGAGGATATACCAGCCCTCTTGCAGATAGGAACATATATAGTTATATATATAACTATATGCGGACCGATCTTTGCAGTGTAACCGATGGTGTGCAATCTGAGGTGCGCTGGGCGCGATTGTGCAATATGCGCGGTGCAATCTGCGCAGCGCTGCCCACTTTGCGCGATGTCTGCACGTGGCAGCGGCCGATGTTTTGCAGCGTCGGAGTGCGAGAAACTTCGATCAACCAGGGTTCATCAGCAGATGATGCCCTCCCCCTATGTCCCCGCGGGTGTTGCGCGATGAACCCCAATCGCCGTCGACCCTGCGTTGCCCTCTCAGCAAACTTGGCAAGCCCTCTCATTCCTTCTCCTTCCCGCCCCCTTCTTTGCGGGCCGGTGGCAGCGCGGCCAGCGCGGCAGGAGGGCCGTCGCGGGCGCGGTGGGGACTTTCCACTCGGGATGAAACGCGGCAAATAAACATTCTCTGTCGACGAGGTGGATGCGTTCCACTGGGCACGCAACATCAATCGATTAAAAGGGCGCTTCTTCGCCTGCGATACGCTCGGCACGATGAAGACAATAATGGGCGCATTGCCAGAGAGCTCCCAAAGGCAGACGGGCGGCAGACGGGCAGACAGAAAGACCTCCGGGGGCTTCGAAGCAGGTTTGACTTCAACAGGAGGCCCCAGAAAATGATCTACAAACTGCGTTTTCGGGCTCCACCCGCCCGCAAAAAAAAAGACGCGATTTAAAGTCGCTCTCCCCTTGGGGGATCCCAGGGCCGCGAATTCACGCCGGCTCATCGGTCATCGCCCGAAAATTAAACGACGAATTAGAAGCCGCGGCAGCGATTCGACCGAAGTCGTTTCTGCGAGGCCCTGCAACGCCGTGGACGAAGGATCTCGCATTGTCGCAATCCCGTCTCTCGGGGATAACAGCGCTGCGCTTCGAGGGGCGAGGGGGGCGGGGAGGCGCCCGATGCTTCTGTCGGGCGGCATGCGAAACGGGCTCGTAATTCTCAGCCAATGACGCGGCCGGCGAAGGCGGGCGCGACGCACGCCAGGCACTTCCCGCGCCAGGCCGAGGCGCGCGTCGAGAACATTCGCGGCGCCCGCGTTCTCGAAGATTGGCAGGCGAGGAAGGCCCCGAAACTGCGGTTTCCACCCCACCCCCAGGGGGCCTTGGGGGGGGGCCTGACTGCAAGTTTCGTCGCCCCCGCGCGGCTGCGGGGCGCGTCGAGGGCGCCGTCGCTCATCGCCGACGTCTGGCTCGCGAAGATCAGAAGACGAGGGCCGCGAAGGCGGATGTGCACTTGAACGCCCCCACCGCCAGGAATGCGTCGCACCGCATTCAGAGCGCCGGTGAACCTGGTGCTGGGGACTATCGCATGTCATGCGCTGGCGTCAGAGATGTTACTCCCGCATCGCCGCCAGTCACCTGTGGCTCGGCATTCGCGCGTCGATTCCCTCCAGGCAAGCGTGCGCGATCCGCTCTACGCGGGGCGTCGGCACCCCCCCCGCCCCCGCGTTCCCCCTGATTGCTCGAGACATTTCACCAGGGTCCTCATATCATCGCATTTGGCCAGCTGGATCCTGACGCGCCCTTCCTGGAACACCTTGAATCTCTCCGCGAACGGGAAATTGTGGACCGCCTCCTCGAGCCTGTGCCCGTTCGCAGCCCCGCGGAGCTCTGCGAGCCCTCTTGGGTTCTTGGGGCCGACCGTCGCGCCCGCCTTCGCGAGACCTCCGCGAACGAAGTGCCCCCGAACTTGCCGCGGTCCTCCTGCGACGCCTGGTGCTCGCGAAGCTGGCTGGTGGTCTCTATCCAAGCCTTCGCGCGCTGCTGGGGCATCTGCGCCGCTCGGTCGCGGCCGGGGCGATCGCGGTGATCAGGGTGCGCGACTCGATCTGACGGCAATCCAGGGATGCACCCAGCAGTTGCTTCAGTGCGATGGGGAACAGCTTGAGGATATCATGTCGATGTCCATCATCTCCTGGTCGTCGAACTCCTTTTGGGGGAGAATATCCGGGCCTGGCTTGCGTTCGGGAGCGCCGCCTCGGCCTCGTCCTCCGCCCTTCTGCTCGGCGCTCCGCTCGGCGGACGATGCCCCTGGCGTCCGGGCAGCCGACGCCGAAGCCTTCGGCGTAGCGGCCTGTGACGTCGGTGTGGGGGGGGGGGGGGCGGGCAACGACTTTCATAGTCCTCGGGCCTATCAAACTACAGCGAGCAACAATGACCACGAAGGATGTCGACATCGATGATCTCATAATTGTGGGCCGATCGATCCGCCAAACACCTCCCACTCCGGTGCGCCTGACACACATGGCGAAGTGCATTTTCTCGAAATTTGAATGAGACATGGCATGAGGTACGCTGGTTGGTGATGGTAAATGTGGCGTACGAAATGTTTATGGCCACGTTGCCCTCCCGCTACTTCCTGCTGATGGATCCGCACCGCGCGGTGATTCCGGAAACGTCGGCCGCACTGTAGACCGTCGGAGGCAAGAAGCAGACGTTCGCGATCTCCGTCAGCTGCCTCGCCTGTTTTCTACAAGAGCAGAACCATGCAGAAGGGTCCAGGGGTCGACGCAGCCATTCGGCCCTCAACTCCGCCATGCCAATACTAATGAAGTCTGAACGGCAATCGTCGTCTCGAAGCGCTGCAAGCTAAACTCTGTTCACCAATGCTAGAAGTACCTGGCCCGCTTCAATGATCTTGAGAGCTCGCAGGTCCATGAAGAATCGCCGAGCCCATGGGTTCGTGCGTGCCGCACTGGAATTGGTCAGGGTTGGTGGGGCTCAGCTGAGAAGTCCGGTTCTTCAGCATACCCCATTACGCCGTGGACCGCTGCCAGCTGCTGCATTTGCCATTGAAGATTTCTGGCACCGCGTTGCCAACTTTTTCTTGGATGGTGCACGCGCACTTCAAGCGCGACGGGAACAATATGCAGCATCCTCCAGGCCTGCATATTCGTCGGAGAACGAAGTATATGTGAGCCAAAGCCCTGCTCGATCGTGCTCTCGATCTTTGCGGCGGCACCTCCGAGCAGGATCTTGCCGTACTTGAAGCACGTGGAATCTACCGCCGCAATATGAGGAAGAGGGTGGGCAGGAAGAGGACGAGTACGAGGATGACGGCGAGAAGGGCGAGGATGGCGAGGATGAAGTAGGACAAGGAAGAATGCGAAGAGGGCGAGGAGAGAAAGAAAGAGGGTGTGGCACGATGCTTTGGAGGAAGACGAGCATCGTGCCTCGAGGATCGAAGCCCGAGATTGTTTGGTCTTCGGGTTTCGGGGGCTGTCGTCGTCACAGCGGCTGGACGCATCTCGTTTGTTTTCCAAGGACCGCAAGACGAGGACGGGGAGGGAGGTGAAGAGGCAACAGCATCAATAGCAGTTGAAGCAGCAGTTGGGCCGCCTTGAAGCCATCTTTTCGGCGTCTCGGGAATCAATTTGGGCGGTCTCGAGCTCACACCATTGTCTGCACTTGGGATCCTTGGTGTTTGGAACTCGTTACGCGATGACACACAATAACGGGACGAACATCTATACATTTACGATTTCCATGCCGTCTTGGGTGTCTTCTTGGCACCTTTTTGGCCACTTTACGCCCTCTCTGGACATCCCTGGGCCCATTTGGGGCGTCTTGGATGGCTTCGGCTGTCTTGGGGCATTGCTGGGGCCCTCTTGGAGGGTTCGTGGGGCCCTCTTGGACCTCTCTGGAGGCCATTGGGACCTTCTTGGCCTTCTTCAGGTCGTCTAGGAGCGCCCTTGGGCCGTCTTGGGACTCTCTTGGGCCGTCCTGGGGCCCTCTTTGGGAGCCGTTTGGGCCGTGCTGAGCCGATTCCTAAGCCCTTGTGGGCTTCTTTGCCCCGCCGGAAGCAGGAAAAAGTCAGAGCACGGAAAAGCTTCAAACGAAACGCCACGAACAAACAAGTTTCGCCTCCAGAGGGCCTCGTGGGACTCATTTTGAGAGCTTCTTGGCCGTCTTGAGGCCCTCTTGGGCTGTCTTGAAACCATGTTGTGCCATCTTGGAACACTCTTGAGCGGTCTTGGGTTCTATGGGAGCGATGTTGGGCCATTTTGGAGCCCTTTCGGACGTCTCTTGGGCCCTCTCGTCGCCCCTCTCCCCCTCCTTTGATGCGGTTTGGCGCTCCCCGACGTGTCCAAAACTGCCGTGTAAAAAATCAGCGCTCCCCAGGGGGCTCTTGGGGGCCTCTTGTGGGCCTCTTGGGGCTTCCTGGTGGCCTATTCGGAGCCTCTTGGGGTATCTTGGGGGCTTTTTGGTGGTGCCCTGTGGCCTCCTGGGGGCGTCGTAGGGCCGAAGGTTTCAAATATATCCGTTCGGGTACCCCCTCTGGGCCCTGGAGCCTTCGTGGGCTGTTTTGGGGGGCCTCTTCCGACTGCGTCACACGTGCCAGGAACGCCCCATGACGGCCAAAGAGGCCCCCAAGAAGCTCCCAAAGATGCCCCCAAGAGTCCAGAGGAGGCCTCCAAGAGGTCCAAGGAGGCTCCCAGGAGACCCCAAGAGTGCCCCAATAGGCCCCAAGAAGCCTCCTCCTCCTTTTTCCTTTGTCTCCTCCTTTTCTTCGTCTTATTATTAATATTATCATTATGGTTCGTCTTCTTCTTCTTCTTCGTCTGTCTCCCCCACGTGTACCCCCAAGGGTTGCCACAACGGCTGGGGGAGCAGATAGTCTGATAGCTTGGCCGAGCCATCGACACAACGTTCGGCCACATAGACGCTTCCAAAAAGACAGTGGGCGGCGGTGGTTTGCTTTAGGCGTCTTCGCATTACACGCGATTAAAAACGCACCAAACACAGCTTGCACAGCATAGACTGCACCACACATGCGCTCTCCATCGACTGCTCCATATGTATTGCTAAATCTTGATTGCTAGAAACCAAACAGATTGCACAACATAGAATACACCACATATGCTCTACATCAACTGCTCCACATGTGTTGGAAACACACTATTTGGGGTCCACGCTGGCTAACATATATGGCTGTTATAAGTATATACGAACGAACAAAAGTACAGATGCGATGTCAAAGTGTCGGCGCTGGACCCCCCCTTCCCTTGCACGCGAAGCGCGCCGGCCGCGCGACGCAAGAGGCACCTTTGCAAGGTGGCCCAGCGCGGACACACGAAATCTCCATGGGGACCCTTAAACAAAGGCATGTGCAGGCTGCTGCTTGCTCTCTGGCTCTCGCTCCCTCCCTCCTCGCTTCTCCTCCTCCTCCTCCTCCTCCTCGCTTCTCCTCCTCCTCCCCCTCCTCCTCCTCCTTCTGCTCCTCCTCCTCCTCCTCCTCCTCCTCCTTCCGCGCAAGAGGCAGGGCTGGGTCCGTGATCCCGCCTGCCCTCCCCACAGCCCCGCACCTCCGCCATCATGCATGTCTTGTGATTCCGACGTGCGCCCGGGCCTCTCGACCCCAGCTCGCTGGACCGGCTTCTCGCCGCGGGTCGATCCTTGCTGTCGTTGAGGACCCGGGGCCCGAAATCAAGCCTCGGAAAGCAGACTCTGCGAAAAAAAAGACGGCCGTCGTGGCTGTCCTTGTGTCGCGACCCCTGGAGGTACCGAAGTGGGACCTCCTCCGCCTGTGCCGGGGCACTCGCGGCCCTGCCCTCCCGGGAGGGCCTCGTCGGAGCCAGCGGAGTCCTCGTCGTCCTCGGCCTCGGCCGATGCAAGAAAGAGGAAAGGGCGGGCAAATAATTCAGAGATCATTGCACCCGCCTCGCAGACGTGCTGCAGCGGGTTTCTGCGTGAATTTCTGCGCGGATTTTTTCCCGAAGCGGCGAGCGAAAAACGGAGCGAATTTCGCGTGGATGTTTTGGGGTCTTCACTCCTGCGCGCAATTCACGAACGAAGTTCTCCACGACACTGCGGGCCCATCCGATCGTTCTCCGAACGAAATCCGCTCTGCGATGTTGGCGCCAGAGGTGGAATCGTGGGCACATGGCGGAGAGGAAGAGGAGCCATATTTGAAGGGGCCCCGGGGCACATACATAGATATACACCAATCACATGATTCCCCCTATGTTCCTAGGTGTTCTGGGTTTTTGTCTGTCCCCCTACTTCCCATAGTTCCCGATATTTTCTGAAGAATCGACGAGTCATTGTGTCTCTGGGTTTTCTTTCCCCCCTGAATACTTCAGAGACGGGCGGCAAGGAGGGAGGAACGGCGCCCTCTCTCTGGCGGGGCAGGGCAAATCGTCTTCCCCTGTCACGCCTGCGCGAACGCAGGAGGGCCCGGCATCGAATCGATGAGTCGCAGCGGCGATCGAAACGGATCGGATCGGTGGCAATCGACAGCCGCGTCGGGAAAGGTCGAATCGGCGGAAAGCGGCGGGATAGTAGGCCTCTATCGAATATCATCGGAGCCCACATCGGACTCCGAAGTCGAATCGAAAAGGAAGCGGAAGCCACAGAGTCTGGATCGGAGGAATCGGCATGAGCCCTGCGAATGACGCTGTTCAAACACAGGTCGGTGGAAGCGGACCGCGCAAGGCAAGGTCGCGTCGTGACGACTATACGGCATGGGTTTCTGACACCGCGCGGAGCGTTCCGCCTTGAGCGCTCGCAGCTCTCCCCGACGGCGCAGACCGCTCGGCGTCGGCCTATTCTTAGGTCGGGCATGTCCTCCTACAGGCGGATGCTGGACGACAAGTAAAGCATAGCCAAACAATACTCAGAACAAATCAGAGAAACAGTAAAACGTCGTCCCCTGACTATGTTTTGACCCTTTCTGGAGTTTCCTCCTGTGGAGGAACAGGCCCGACTTGCGCCTCCTCTGACCACAACCTCCTCCTCCTCCTCCTCCTCCTCCTCCTCGTCCCCCTCCTCCTCCTCCTCCTCCTCCTCCTCCTCCTCCTCCTCCTCCTCCTCCTCCTCCTCCTCCTCCTCCCCACCCCCCCACCAAGGAGGCCCGACGGGCGCGACGAGAAGAACCATGCGGGCCGTGCGCGAGGTGGCGCGGCGACCTCGCGCGGCGGCCTGGCTCCAGCGCGGGGCGCCGGGCGCGGCACGCCACGCCGGAGGTACGACGAGATACGACACGACTAAGAATCGGGGAGACGTAAGACTCGGGTACACCCTGCGAAATGCTTAAGAAATCATGGGTTAAGAAATTCATAGTCTCAGAAATTGACTAAAACCCAGAACTTCTATCAAAATCTTGGGATTTACATTCAAAAGTTAAGAATAATCGAGACTCTGGCCGAAACTTTAGGTTTCCTTAAGCATCGCCTAAGGTGTACGGGGGACTCGGGTTGGCTTGACAGGGGCCATCATAAAGATGGCGAGACCCAATCTGAAATTTGACGCGGGCTGCCGCTGCAAACATCCCACGGAAACGGGACCGTCAAAAGCCAGGACGCGCTCGTCAAAAAAACCGGCAAACCCGAGTTCCAGCTTACTCGAGTCTTACGTTTCCCCGACAGAGGCCTCCCAGAGGGGGTCGGAACAGATGGTGTCGGAGGACCCCGCCGCATCGCCGAGACGTCGGCGATACATTGCCGACGCATCGGCGATGCATCGGCGATACATCGGCGATGCATCGGCGATGCATCGGCGACGCCAGCGTGCAGAATACCGGGCTCCACATCGAGCCGCATCGCCGAGGCATCGACGATACGGTGCGATCCTCCGACCCCATCTACTCCGACCCCATCTAGGATGCCTAGAACGACCACCGCTGCGGACGCGTTCTGGGCCTGGCGTTAGGTCGGGCATGTCCTCCTACAGGTGGATTTTGGAGGATAAATAAAGAAGTCAAGAAAACACTGATAAGTACAAGACAATAGTCAACACATCGTCCCCCCCCACTATGCTTTGACTATTTTTGAATATTCCTCCTTTAGAGGAACAAGCCCGACTCGAGCCTAGCTGAGGCCAGGTGGGCGAGGCCGTGGCCTGAGGAATCTGGTGTGTCTGACTGAGCAGCATGCAATGCGAGATGCGCAAAACAAAAATCAATGGAGGAGGGAGGGGGGAGAGGTCCTTGGAGTCGGTGTCGGCGTGGGGCTCGGCATGCTTGGGCGTGTCTGTGTGGGAGGGAGGGAGGTCGAGAGGGGACAGGGCGAGGGCGCGTGCGCGCCAACGCTTTTCTACGTCGCTCGCCTGGCGGCGGCGCCGCGCCGACACACACCACGGGCCTGCCGCACCTGTGCTGCCCCCTGCTGCGGCGGCGTGCGGGGGGGGGCACCCCGCGGAACCTTTTTGTTCCGCCTCGGCGCGGCAGAGGCAACCGCTCGCGCACTCCGGCAGCCTGGGCGAAGCACACGCGCATTGCCCGGCAGCAAGGAAGCAGGGCAGCGGGCGGGGCTGCGGAACAAGGGCGAAGGGGGAGGGGAGGGCACTCCCTGCACCACGCGGAGCAGACATCCAACGCTGGGAGGCCCGTGCGGACTGCTCGGATCGGCGCTGGGCCCCCCCGTCGGCGGTGCTGTGGGCGTCGCCCCTGGCGCGCGCCTGGCCCAAGAGGTCCGCGCGGACCTTGGAATGTTCATGGCTGTGCCGTTTTGCCCACGCGGGCCAACTGACTGCGCACGCGTGCAACAGGATACCGTACTAGAAGACGAACAAGCGGCATAAATATACAAAATTGGCGCTCCGCGCCGACTTCTTGGATCTGCGCTGGAACCCCCCTCGCTGGCGCGCTCCTCGCGCCAGGGGCGGCGCCCAAGGCGCCGCCAGCGGGGCCCAGCGCTGATCCAAGAGATCCGCGCAGAGCGCCAAAAGTTTACAATTATGTGATTGTTCGTCGTCGACGTACGTAGACCCCTCGACGCGGGAGTCGATGCCAGCTCGACGCCAGCCGCACCCGGAGGGAGGGAGGAGGGAGAAGGAGAAGGGAGGAGGAGGCAGGAGGAGGAGGCAGGGGAAGGGAGGAGGGAGGAGGAGGAGGAAGCACGAGGACGAGGCAGGGGGAGAGAGGAGGGAGGAGGAGAAGGGAGGAGGAGGCAGGAGGAGGAGGAGGCAGGGGAAGGGAGGAAGGAGGAGGGGGGAGGAGGAGGCATGAGGAGGAGGCAGGCGAAGGGAGGAGGGAGGGGGCAGGAGGAGGAGGAGGAGGCAGGAGGGGGAGGCAGGAGGAGCCCATGCCCGCTCGACGCCGGCGCGCTACGGAGGGAACGAGGGCAGGGCGAACGCGGGGGTCCCGCAGCGCCCCGTCCCTGGGCCGGCGCACCACGAGAGGCCAGGATCGGCCAGCATCGCGCCCCGGCTCCCGGCGCCCTCGGCGGCACACCCGCGCCTCGCGCTGCACGACTGCAGCCGGCCCGCATCAGAAGGCCACCTACCAGGCCACCCCAACCCGACCTGAAGACCCGACTTTCGGGTTGGGGGGGAGTACGGGTTCCATAGGTGTTTTTCCATGTTCCGCGGCCCCGCCCCCACTGGAAACGGAGGGCCCACTGGGGCCTTCGGGTTGGGCTGGGTTGGCCTGGTGGGTGGTGAATAAGGATGCAAGGGCCTCGGACGCCCCTTCCGAAGATCTTCGAGCGGGGCGCGGCCGACGGAAATGGCCAAGGATGGACCGAGGAGGCGAGGATGCAAAAGGCACCCTTGCCCATCCTCACTGTGCGGGCTGACTGTGGCCTAGAGCCCTCGCGCAGCCCCCCCTGCAGAGAGGCAACCGCTCTGGCCTGGCCCGCGACACGCAGCGCGCGATGACCTCCTCACCCCCTCCTCCTCCCCCTCCTCCTCCTCCTCCTCCTCCTCCTCCTCCTCCTCCTCTGCCCTCCTCCTCCTCATCCTCATCCTCTTCCTCCTCCTCCTCCTCCTCCGCCCTCCTCCTCCTCCTCCTCCTCCTCCTCCTCCTCTTCCCCTCCTCCTCCTCCTCCTCCTCGTCCTCCTCCTCCCTCCTCCTCCTCCTCCCCCCCTCCTCCTCCTCCTCTTCTCTCCTCTTCCTCCTCTCCTCCTCCTCCTCCTCCTCCTCCTCCTCCTCCTCCCTCCTCCTCCTCCTCCTCCTCCGCCGCCTCCTCCTCCATCTCCTCCTCCTCGGGACATCGGATCGCAGCGGAGCGTGCGTCGGACCGGGTCGTGCCAACAACCACAGGACACAAGGGTACTCTGCAAAGACCGCGACCGCGGTCACCCGCGGCCGACCCGCAACCTCGCGAATGGGGTCGCGCGCCAGACACGACACCAAGGGTATCCGACTGGCCGCGCCGCCCGCCGCGCAGGGGGGGGAAGGCTTCGTAGAAGGAGGCTCCTTCTTAGAAGACGCGGGCCTTACATCTGCAGACAAGGTCCACGCCTTCAGAAGCAGGGGTGTTTCTTGTCAGAAGCCCTCCCCCCTCCCCCTGCCCCCTCTGCGTGTGGCCGACGGGCCCTGGAAGTTGGCCCTGCCAGGCGCCGCCGCGGCCCCCAGCAGATGGCGGCTGGTCCGGCCTCCCAAGGAGGAGGCCGACGCCGCCGCGCGACCCCCAAAACGCCGCCCCGCCCCAAAGGTGCCGACGAACGGGGCTGCGGAGACGAGGAGGGGGGGGGCAAGAAGCCGAGCAAGCAGAGGACGAGCGGAAGAGGAGGAGGAGAAAGGGGGAGGAAGCAGGAGAAGGAGAAGGAGGCAGGAGGAAGAGAGGAGGGAGGAGAGCGGGAGGGGCAGGGGGGAGACGGAGCTCGGCCGGCTTTTTCCGCCGGGGGTCCGCCACTCCGCGTTTACACGGGGCAGGTGA